GTTTCATTTTCTTGCAGAGCTTCAGAAAATTGATGTGGAAACCAATCACATAGTATGCGTTGAGGAGTGGGGTAGTTAAAATACAGATTCCCAGGACCTACTTCCTAATCTATAATCTCAGGTAGTCTAGGGTTTGTCCTAGGATTGTGTACTTTCACAGGCTTCTCTCATGCTTTTGCCAGGATTGACAAGTAGATGTCCTTATAGTGTTTTAAGAAACACTCGTTAAAATCAGCATGGGTCAGAAAAATCTCTTTGACATTCAGCCTCAATTGAACTTCATCATGTACTTTTCTCCACCTTTCCAACCCTCCCTGACATTTTCAGTCCTAGTCAGCATGGAATACATAAATACTTCAATGCTATGGACTTTCTATTTCTCTCCTGGTTTATTCCTCTCTCTCTCACTCTCTCTACATGGAAAACTACTATTCACTTATCCACACAATATCAATGAAAATATTACTCCCTTTATGATGTTTTCTCTGAATCTTCTCCCTTCTTTACATGAATGTCCATATCACTTTACATATATAGATTTACTAGAGTGATTATTATAATACTTCATAGTTATTGTTTTATGTGTCTGTTTTCCTTGCTAATCTATCTATGCAACCATAGTTCATGGGACAAAGAACATCACGTGTTACATATTCAATAAAAGTCTGTTGAATTATAAATGTAACTAATTTTCTATTTCTAAAATGGCCTCTGGGCACATGTATTGGGAAGAGGGAACAGGTGACATATTTGGGACAAACATAATCATGATATTCCTAACTTCCTTTAATAATCTAAGATAATTGTGTTTAATAAACTTTTATATACTTATTTGATTATTTTTCTTGAGATGTTCATTCTGAGAGAGCAAAACTGACTTTGATCATGCTACTTCATCAATTCCACATGGACAAATTTAGCCTCTGAAAATGTTTCCTAAGTTAGTAAATTCTAGAAGTTAATTTTTATAGCATGATAGAAATTAAGACATTCCAATGGGTGATCTATACCAAGTCCTTATATATTTACTAAGTCCTTAGTATCTTGGAAAAAGGCTATGTGATATTCTATTAAAAAGGCCACCATAATAACTTAGAAGAAACTTGGAAGGTAAGGCATGGAAAACAGTGCTAAGTAATGCAAACTATACGCTACAAATCATCTGTGAATCTACAGCATAAGAGAGGCTTTCTAATGTAAGCATTCCTCTTCAGCAATGTGTGTAAATCACAGCCAAGTCAATAACCTCTTTCCAAGTGTATCAGGGAAAGAAACTTGCATAATAATCTGCAGTTTTGCTTAGTGTTCAAACCTTCTCAACATTGGCTGTTCAAAGGAAGAAAGTTTGGCATGACTCTTGTTCAGTGCACAGAGAAGCTTCTGGCTGCAGAAAATCAGCCTGATGACATGGATTCTCATTAGCTTATGGACATTTCCATCACAGTATAATATTTCTAAGTCTGTCAGTGATAACCCCAACCTGATAACCCCTTCCCACTTCCTTCAGAAAACTAGAATATCTCAGAGCTAGAGCCTAGTTATTTCCCTCATTCCTTTTTCTCAAAAAATTTATTTATATTCCATAGTTGAAGCTGTTAGTGATCATGTGACCTTTGGTGTAACTGACAAAATGGTTGCTTAACTGTATCTTAATATAAAGTAACTACAGTTCACTCACTTGCAGCCTCAATTCTTGTATACACTTTTATCTTACATTGTAAAGTCACAACACGATAAAGGAAAAAGGGGATCAGGAAAAGCATGAAACTGGACTATGACAAACAGCATTTGATTTTGAAAAATGGCACATTTGACTTTAAGATCTCCCCAGCTCCCTTTATAGTTCTTTGGTCTTGAAAAGCTGGAATACTTAACTACCCTTCTTATGTACAATGGTCAAAGTCAGTTGAAAGCCTCAGCTTTTGATAAAGCCTTCACTATGGAATCCAGCCCACCCCAGATCAAAGGGATATTTCTCAGTTCTTTGAGCACTTGTGGTCTTCATCTCTAATTTAGCACTTAGCATGTGTCTAAACTATCTAAAGAGGTTGTACATTCCTCAAATGCAAGAAACAGGCTTTACATTTCTTTTATTCCCTATAGCACATAGCACCCACAGGTTCCCTGCTCATCAATTCTTCCCAATATCACATGAGAATTCCTGCAGTACTGTGCATGTAATTTTGAATTTTATAGCCCCAAATAGAGACCTACCTTCATCTATTATCTAATAGATAAGGATATTTTTAATTTCAAATAACTGAAACAACACAAATATATGGAATAAAAAATAATGATGTTGTTGTTATGTGCCGTCGAGTCAGACCCGACTCACAGCGACCCTTCCTTGGGTTTCCGAGACAGTATCACTATGGAAGTAGATTGCCCCATCTTCCTTCCGAGGAGTGGCTGGTGAGTTTGAACCACCAGCCTTCTGGTTAGCAGTCAAGTGCCTTAGCCACTATGCTACAATAGTCTTCCAAATAAACACATAACTAACTATCATAGGCTAGGCATCTCTTCAGAAGATATCCATTCATACAAAACTTTCTAAGTGGTTTAGATTTAACAGGTTAATCAAATGATATTATTCATTTAGAAGAATCTGGTTCACTTATATCTATCATTAACCAAGTTATACTATGTCAGATAGCGCTATACTTTAAAGCCTGTTGTTGTTGTTGTTGTTGTTGTTATGTGCCGTCGAGTCGGCCCCGACTCATAGCGACCCCTCCTTGGGTTTCCGAGGCAGTATCACTACGGAAGTAGGATTGCCCAACCTTCCTTCCAAGGAGTGGCTGGTGGGTTTGAACCGCCAGCCTTCTGGTTAGCAGTCAAGTACTTTAGCCACTATGCTACTTTAAAGCCTAGCTTGGGCTAATTATTTCTCTGGTTTGAATAATTCTGTCAAATTTAAAAGCTACATCTTTTCAAGTATTCATATACCTTTCCAATATATCACTTCTTCAAAAATATACTATAAAACCATAAAATTTTAGAACAGGGGAAGTTTAGGACAAATCTCTTAAATTATCTATGTTTATGCCCTCATTTTACAAATAAGAAAACTGAGGCTCAATAAACCTAATTGATTTTCTTTGAATTAGCTAACAAACCGATGATAGAAAAAGAACTAGACCACTCGTGTTCAAATGAATGTAACTTCTATTACACTTTACTGTCTCCTTTCGAGCATAATATATGTATGTATTTTAAATTTTAATACATACAAAACTAATTAAAGAAAAAAAATGAACACCACTGGAAATGAAACATGCACATGAGATAAACAAGTGCATGCACAAGGCATTCCATGAGACACTCTCTGAATTTGCACAAGCGCACAACACAACTATTCTTAACTCACGAAGTTTAAAGATGATTGTATTCCAAGGGTTTGTAAAATATGAGCATTCCTTACCTGGCAGCTGTATGAGGGGTTGATAAAAGACATTAAAAACTTCAGCTATGATTAGACATTATATTTTTCTGGTACTGAAGGCTTGTTTCTACCTGGGTTTCAGGTGTCTAGAACTTTTAATGGAAAGTGAACCAGACACTTAAGAAGGGTAATCCAACATATAGAACCTTGCCGTCATTGCCATAACATAACAACATTATGTTACTACAGGTGATTATCACACAAATCTTCCTATTTTTCAGTTATGGCTCTATTTTCCTTATATTTGTCAGCCTCAAATGCCTACAAGTAGAATTACTTCTTTAGGTTTACAAAGTTCATGTAAGGAAACAACTTAAAATTCCCCTATCTTGAGTACTGTAAAGCAACTATCAGCTTTAATGCTCTTGAACTATAATGATGCCATAGATTTGAGGGAAAGAGGAATATAAACATATAAAGGAGAAAATGGTGACGAAAAAGCACTCTTTATTTTAAATTGCCCTCAATTCCTTCAACACTAATGACCAAACTCAGGTAGTTAACTAGGAATGTATACTTTCAAGAATGAATGAAACCCTCTTTGCATATTTCATAATATCCATGATCCACACTAGGACACATCCATTCCACCCTGATGTAAAGTAACAATGTCTCACATTATGATAGTCAAGACCTTTTTTAAAAACACCAACCATAATGCTTCGACACCCCTTAAAAATTTAACCACCTCCATGAATTTCCTTTGTCCTTTAATATAAAAGCTGATATCTTGACAGTTTTAATAGGTACCCAGGAAAGAACATGCAGAGAAGCAGAGAAAAATGCTCACTCCAGTTGATCTTTTCTTTCTAAACATTAGGGCATATAAAAGAACTAATCAGTAATAATAGAAACTCAAATGAAACAAAGAAAAGCAGCTTTTCACAGCTCTTAACTACCAAGAGACTCTACAAAAGAGCATCAGTGTTATGACATGCAATAACAACAACAAAAAAAGGTAGCAAATTTGATTGTGATATTTTGAAATAGCTATACCTTTAAACTTGCAGGAGTGATCACTTTTTTCCCCCCAGAAAACAAAACTTTAGTTTTTGCATTAGAATGCTTTCATTTGTTTACCAAAAACAAGTTGGCTGATAACCCTTAAGTATCAGTTTATTCATATTTAAGGCCCACAATTTTATAAAGAAGACTAATTCTCTGAGCAAATATCAATAAATGATATTCAATGACCCTGAAATCTGCCGAAGAATAATGCATCCTCCCAAGTAACCTTCTTTGGAGAAGCTCATCAAAGGAGTCCAGATTGGATTCATTCCACATATGAATGATTTTCAATCTCAATGGGAAGAAAGACAGAAATAAAGAAATGAAACTAACATTCACTTCTCAAACTTACATTAGCTTGAAGAATGAGTCATTGATGTGGAATACCTGAACCACATAAAGAATAAATAGGTCTTTTGCCCTTAGTTATCTAACAGTAAGTAAAGAGGGCTTGAGTGGGCATATCGTCATTTTCCTGAAACAACCCCCTGGCTTCGGAAATAAAGGTTACAGTGAGAGACAGATTAGATTAGAAATTGAAGTTACTCACCATGGAGGAATCACTGCTTCCACTCCCGATCGGAGCTCCCTCAGCACAGGTTGGGAGGTGGGTAGAAAGTTGACTAGCCCTGCCCCCATCTATGACATCACAATCTACCTCATAAAAGGTAGTGAAAGTGCTCTGAACTCCTGTCTGATTTCCGAGAGATACAGAAAAGAGAGAGTGAGAGAGAGCGCAAGAGGAAAAAAAAAAAAAAAAATCCATAGCCTACTTGGGAAGGGATTAGGGAAGTGGAAGAGGGAGTGGGTAACTGGGAGAAAGAGGCATATGAAGGAATCATGTGCTGAAAGAGATAAGTATAGGCCTCCTTGACATTGAGCAGCCTGGTCATTTGGATTCCTCATTGGCAATCTTGAACAGACAAATGGACCTCGTAGGAGGAGGATGAAGAAGCATCCTGCCTTGTTAGGCATTGTAGGGGGCAAGGTAATGGGGCTCAAAGGGGATGAATCCCCTATTTTAAGCACTGAAGATCACCAAGAGAGAAAGCAAGGGCTGCAGCTCTTAAAGCCTGGAACAGTTTGTAGCAATCCCAGATGCCTTTCTTGATGGTTCCATTGCCCTGCTATGTGACCTTCATCAAGATCTCAGCTTCTGAGAATCCAGTAGTACATGGTTCTAAAAGGATACTTACCTCTTTCTTTCATTGGAATCACTGAAGGACTAAAGTACTCATGGTTGCTAGAACTGCAACTCTTTTTGCTCTTCCTTTTTTGCACCCTAGGATGGGTTGTGTGAGGGGCACAATTTAAAAGATAAATTGATACCTAATGCCTATTTTTCTCTTTAGATTCTTTTCTTAAAATTTTCTCTTCAACATAAAATATTACTGACAATTTTGACTAAGTTCTTCCATATCTACCAAAAATAATATACAAGGAGGGTGTTTAGATCCCATCTTCAAAACTGGAGAAAAAAAATCAAGTGGTAAGATTTCTACAGTCATAAGATCTCCTGCACTGCCACACTCAGAGGTCAAATTTATGTAACTGAGGGATGATAACTGACCAGATGTTTTTGTCACATGCAATTCTGCATGCAGTTTTTTTTAACCTGTGGGTCCAATTCTTTTGCAAAAGCAGACAAGATGGGATAATAATATGGAGAACATTAAGACCTTTTTTTTTTCCAAAAGAGATTTAGGAGTTTCAAAATACTTTTGAAATGCTCAAAGTTGTTGAGTAAATATTATAGCAAAACAAAAGTAATGGGTAATATTTAAGAGGAGAGTCTGAAACCATCTAAATGAAACTCAGACCTTTATTGGACAGTAGAATACATAAAGAGTGAAAAATCTCTTCCACAGAAAATATTTTGGTGAAAGAAAGGATTCAAAATAATAGCATATAATTCACAGCATAATAAATGGGTAAAGCCCATTCCTGCTTTGCATGCAAATAAACAAAATTCCTTACTTGGGATTTTAAATTCATTTTTTAAACCAATATAGTCCTTTTTCTAATCCTGTCATTCAGAACTCACCAAATACTCATGTGTATTACAATAATTACAACTTAAAATAAAACAAAAGTGGAAGATCAGGGAGCAATGTGAAGCACAGAGACTACTGAATTCAAACTGATTATGGATTTGGCAACATCACTCCCATCTTGCACTCCAAAATAAATGAAGAATTAGACAGTAGGAAAGAAAAACATCTTCCAGATTAAGAAAAAGAAAAGCTATTTTGTTTCATTTGACTTTTTTCTCTACTTGTTAGAGAAAGAGGTGATGCTCTGAATATGCTTTCTTTGTTATATTTTTTTTTAAATTTTATTTCCATTTCCAACAATTCTAATGTCTAAATCCAAATTCCATAATGAACATGTTTTATTGTGTGAGATTTCAGAATCAATAGTGCAAATCATTTTTATTTACCTTAATTTTTACATATTAGACAATTGATTAGTTGGTTTATCCTTTTTTTTTTTTTTTTAATAATCCTATTTGTTTATATGACTTGGACATCTCTTGATTTCCCTATTATAAGGAATATATTAGTCATTTACCATTATTTCTCAGTTTCAAAATTGATACTGTGTATTAGAAGCTTACTTGGGTCTTCTTGTCATGCAAAATTTAAAGGTCATTATTTTAAGATTAGTGATGCACTTGTCCATTCTTCAATAAACGCATGAATTTTTCTTACTACCCACAAAGAAGGTACACTCCTCTAAACGTTGGAGTATAACAATAAAAATGGAGTTAAACACTTTTCAATATTGAAATTAAAAAAGCCTGTACTTAGATTAAAGCCCATTGGCATATATTTATTAATTGCTTATTGTCTATTTAGAATGGAGAATGACTTCAGGAACCCAATGCAAAACTAGGCTGCATCAAAAGGATGCTAAGTGGTGTACTGTGCTGACCTTTTAGGTAAATTTAGTATGATTGATTGTGATAATGCCTTTAGTTATGATATTAGTTAAAACAACACAACTTTCTCTGACACAGGGTACAACGCCAGGATCAAATAATTTCTGGCTTTTCTTAGATCTGCACCCACTTGATATTTTTTCATGAAAACTAAGTTTTACTGCAATTACGGATTTGATGCACATTTCCCATGAAATCACATAAACGAATGAATGCTCTTAAAGACAAGATGGGAAGTGATTGTAGGATCTCATAAACCTGTTATGGCAGTTATTGTTATAATTTTCTTCTACCTAGAGAGACGGAGGGTTGGATTTAAACTTCTGTTTGTTTGTGATGGATTTTGTTTGTTTGTTTAACTTCTTAGAATAAAGGATTGAAAAAAATCAGGTGGAATGATTTATACATTCCAAAAGAATTACCCACGGATGCATTTAAAAAGTAAATCATCATGAAGGACATGATCAGGCAGCTGGCAGGCATTTGATCAAAATGTTGAATAGAATTATCTCAGCTACACAGACTCTGATTCATGTTGATAGCAGCAGAATTAGAAATGGGAGTTTCCTCCATAAAGAAACCTTATGTCAATTTAGTTTTGTGGTGCTATCTATTATATAGGAGCTCTAGTAGCATAGTTCCTAAGGCACTTGACTGCTAACCAGAAGGCTGGCAGTTCAAACCCACCAGCCATTCCTTGGAAGGAAGACTGGGCAATCTACTTCCGTAGTGATTATACAGAAGCTGGGAATTAAAAGAGTAAAGGGTTCTTCAAAGATGTTGCTGTTTAAGTCTTCTCCAGGATATTTTCTCTCACTTATTCTCATCTTTTCTTTTTCTCTTAATTGCAAAATAGATTTGCAAAAGAAAATGGATGGAAGATTTCAAGAGACAGATCATACAGATTTTAACAGAACACCTAGCCCCAGTTCCAGTCAAGTTCATTGCCAGAAATGAATTTGCACAGATGAAGGTGTTCATAGAAAAATCATAAAATAACATGATGGAAATACTGATTAAAGAAAAGATTAAAAGTCTAAATGAGGAAAGCTTTCCTTCAAGAAAATAGGCATTTGATGAAACATATTCATTGCCCAGAAGTGAAATGACTGTTCAAGATAGAGTAAGACAATATGCTCTCAAGCAGTAAGGAAATCCGAACCAAAGATACTCCATGTTCCCATCCAGAAGCCTGTCCTATTTGTAAGATACATGGGCCATAATGTGCCACATATTTCTCTTCTAAGGGCTGTGATCAAAGCCATATTTTATGAATCATTTAAATGAAGCTGGGGAAAGTACTTGATAAAATAATCTGTATGGACAGGATGTAGACAACAGCAAGTTAAAGACACTTTTATTTCTAGAATATAGTAAACCAAGAAAAACAGTGAATACATGGAGACTCAACAGATACCCTGCTATTCTAGCTGAGAATGCTAATCATTTCAGCAAGCTGAGAAACTAAATGGAGAAAAAGAAAATACACAGCTTAATAAAAAACACAATGGACAAAAAATGTTCATACTTTTCATAGAAACCATTTGGTACTAGCAATAAAGAGACATCAATGCCCTCATTAACATTAATATTTAGCTGTGTGCCTTCTACATGGTTGAGATGCAATAGATGTGTTGAATTCAATAAATACCAAATGCCCTTATGTAACTAAGAAATAAACACATCTTTTTAAAGCCCTGATTGCTACTTTTTAATTGGAGATTATGAAAAACTTATGAAAACATTGATTTTTTCTAGAAAAATACTATTTTCAAAATTTTATCAAAATCAATACAGAACAAAAGTTTAAATGCTTTTCTACTAACCAAAATGTTGATTGTTTAAACCCACCCACTGACTCTGCAAGAGAAAGACCAGGTGATCTGTCCCATAAAGATAATAGCCTAGAAAACCCAATGGAGCAGTTCTACTCTGTCACTTGGGGTCACTATGACTCTGAATTGACTTAACAGCACCTAACAACAATAACAACTGAACAAAAAAACTCTGTCTCAATTTTGCTATGGTGGTCTCTTTATGTCACTTATTCTTGGCCATCTGAGGTAATAAGAAAAACATATAAAATCAATAATGAAATCCTCAGATAATCTTTCACACATGGTTTTAATATCCATTCTCTCATTTATACATATCCATATATTCAATAGTTGTTGTTTTTGTTGTTATATGCCGTCGAGTCAGACTCGACTCACAGCGACCCCTCCTTGGGTTTCCGAGGCAGTATCACTACGGAAGTAGACTGCCCAACCTTCCTTCCGAGGAGTGGCTGGTGGGTTTGAACCTCCAGCCTTCTGGTTAGCAGTCAAGTGCCTTAGGCACTATGCTACCAGAGTTCCTTTTAGCTAGAGGTTGTTAAAATGTGAAAAACATCTACTAAGCTCATTGATTGAATAGCAAGTAGTGGCCTCGTATTTCTAGGGCTGAGACAGTCTTCTTAAAGCAACTAACACCTTCTACTTTTAGAAATAGCCTCAAACTAAAATGGAAATAACCCCTCAGTCCACAAGTTCTGGTGACATGATCAAATTAATCCACTGAGTAGATTAAAATTAGGTCAATCCATGTCTCCATTTAAGGTAAAAAGAGTTATTTGCTTGGTTCTGGTCTCAGCTCTGCCACACTATAGCCCTCTTTTTCTTATTTTAATATGAGAGCATTGGAATGGTAAAGTATTTCCCACTGTAAAAAAAAAAAAAAAAAAAAAGTAAGAAAGTCAATTAGTTTTACTCCAT